TTTTTTAGGTACATAAGACTCTGTATCTCCTTCAAATTTTACTCCCTCAAATTACACCACATTTGACAAAAAGGTGCTACATCCGAAGTTCTCTCTCTTCCTTACCCCCACTGGAATGAAAGGAAACTTTAGCCAGATATCCTTTGAAGTACTCACTATAACCCAAACAGTGTCAATACAAGCAATATCTTTTTGTTAATACACACATATAATAACCAACACCTCTTTTATTACAAATTTAAAGTCTACCCTTTTTCTCTTTTGGAATTAGAAAGTAGACTAGAAGTGAAAAAAAATAGAGATAGAATCCTTCTAATAAGACTTGAATAAATGTGCAATATAACCAAAACCATTTATTATAAATTAAAGTTACTATTGTTTTTAAAATTAATTTTTGCGTCCGAATTCAAGTTCTCGTAATTATAACAAAAACAATAATAATAAATAATTTTGTCCTAAGGGTAAAATGATATAAACAACTCGAAAGTGCATCTTCACATTTTTAGTGATTCGGTGAAAAACGAATGAAAAAATAAAGATTTTTCATTGCCATGGGTTGAAAGTTCATCAAAAATATTTGACATAACAATGAAATGTCAAAATTGCACTCAATTTAAGCTATGACTGCATAACAACTAAGTTGTTAATGTAGTACATGAGAAAGATTGGTAAAATCAAGTGTTTGATTCTTATCATTGTACAAGAAGAAAAAATAAAAAAATTCTAAAGAGCACTTTACATGTAGCTCACTCAAGTCTCTCCAAAAAATGATTTGTATATATCATCACAAACTTTGTGCCAATTAAGGTTCTGATTTGTGGAACATTGTTGTTTTCCACTTTCATTTTTGTGGGCTAATCTTATCTAATGACACAATTTTTTTATAGGCAAAGAGAAAAATGGTGTTCCTCAGATTCTTTTGACAACTAAGACAATCATGACTGCGAATCAGATGCTCGGTAGTAGAATAAACACACAATTTCTAGAAGCTTAACAAACAAGATAAGTATAACCCCGATGAATGGACCAAGCACAATATATTGGATCTTCATTCATGAACTTCTTAGTATCTCACTAATTTTAATGTATTTTCTGTGACATAGGCAAGCACTTCTAGGTCTCCTCTTACAATTATTGGTTCAAATGTCACCCTCATAAACCCTATTTTTTTTTAATTAAAAAAAGTTTGAGATGAGCTTGGATCAAGTGTAGTATTACACAAATATTATACTGCATCTATGGCAGTTCGTAATAAATTTTCAAAGGTTTGATATCTTTACACACCTCCATGAACCAGCCAGATTACACCAATATTTGCTCGATCTCGAGTTCGATACACCGCGACCGATATCGTGACTGCGAACCTTGACTGCATCTGACAGTCTACAATCCTCGCACATATGAACGTGAACAGATGTAAAGATTTTAGACCCTCAAATGCGCACAGTAAGTTAATACGAAAGATTGGGGAGAAATTATTATATAGTGCCAGTCAATCACAACCTTACATGCAGGGACAGACCCATGTTCTCACTATTATGCCCAGGGATGGATAGTGGGGGCAATTACCACCACTGAATTTTTTTTTTAGTATTATACTCTTATAATTTGTTCATTTTCAATAATATACCTATGAAATATTACATTTCCCCCCCCCCCCTTAAAATTACTTTAAAAAATGCACTATTGCACCCCAAAATTCATTTTTGCCCCCCTTTCCCTAACATCTTGGCTCCGTCCTTGATTATGATCCCTATTTTTGTCACTTTGATATGTATATTTATGAAATTTTACCTTTGTCTTTCTGAAATTATTAAAAAAAATCAGTATTGTGCCCCCAAAATATTCTGGATCCGTCCCTGCTTGCATGCAAATAAAAAACATTGAAAAAGTTGGAAAAGTTATTATATGGTCTCAGATCAATAACCATATAATATGTAAGTAATTGTGTTAAAAATATGTAAATTTATTTCAAATTTTTTCTTATATAATCAACGGTGATAGACTGGGAATAATAATTTTGAACCTTTTAATTTGTCTTCATAAATTAATATATTTATAATTATGTATATGTCGAGTTGTAATTGATACGGAAGAATTTCTCATGATGCAAACTCCTTTGAAATAATCAAGCTCGAGCAATGACTTCATGTGACATGACCCTGGAGTGTAGAGTTTGGTCACTTACCTATAATGTCCGAAAGGAATACAAAGAATATAATAACATGGTTATGCTTAGAAGTCAATTGCAGATACTCAAAGCATTTCCTTTATAGACTATATATATTATAATACATAGTGAAATTTTATTGTGTATTGGATTTTAAAATAATAAAAATAAAAAGCACGTTAATCAAATTGGATGTGGTGGTTAGTGGGAGAATCATTAGGCATAGGTTGTGTTATCATGTGAATATCAAATTGGACAAATATAAAATCTATGGATAGGCTTTTTGACATTGGATCAAATTTATTGAGATGATGGGGTCATGCCACCTATGAGGTTAGAGATCCAATTATACCCTTCACATTAAATGGACTCAATTCTTAAACCGGTTATGTATTTTAGGGTGAAGGGAGTATTTAATTGAGTAAAAAATAATAATAATTAAAATATAGTTTTTTTTCAAAATTCGGGGACATTTCTATATTTTTTTTTATGTCCAATTTCTATATGTTTTGCACTCTTTTTCCGTATTTTTTATTTTTTTCAAATACATTCATATAGTTAAAAAAATGTTTATACATATAAATGCCGTCAAATATTTCTCAGACGGAATATGAGATTTTATAATCACTTCTTTTTAGGACCCAACATCATGTTTGTACATGTGCTTCCTAATCTCTTGGGGAATAACTTTGATTCCATTTATTACGACGCTCCTCCATCGTAAAAACGTCTCTTAAAAATGAACAAGAAGAAAATAGTAATATGCATACTGATTGCCACCTATTTGTGAACATATTAGTCCGGCCATTTCTAATGAGTTATAAATTCGGTCAGAACCGCTTCATATCCCTTGATTAGGTCGATCTCTTCATATGTGGACGCATTGTATTGTATCGAAATTCTAAACTCTTCCAAAAAAAAAAAAAAAAAAAAAAAAAAAAAAAAAAACCTATCAATTTTTGAACTTGATCTCAATTCTAGGTAAAGTTGAGCAATGGTACGAACCCAAGTGGAACCTTACTCGTATTTTAATTTTATAATATTGTTAAAATCAGTAACCCAAGTCAAACCTGATCTAACCTAATCATAATCCCATTCACTCAATTAACCTAGTTTAACAAATCTAATTCCACCTTCACTCCGCCTTGAGTTATAATTTTTAAAAAAGATAATAAAAAAGAGAAAAAATTAAGATATTATATAGTGATCTAGTTAGTAGAACACCCAACTCTCTAATCGGGTATGAGTCCTCCCCTCCCCTAGTTTACACTTAGAGTCCTCCCCCTCCCCTAATTTACCGTGATAAAAATAAAAACTAATTACCTATAATGACTTAGTCCTATCAATTTTTAATGACTTAGTCCTATCAATTTTTAATAAAACCAGTGAGTCCTTTTTCTTGCATGTTCCTTATTAGTTCTTGATCTCTCAAACTTTCAAAAAAAATTTAACCAATTGTAATTATATAATTTCAAATTTTTGAATAATTATGTCCAATTTTTTTTCTCTAAAAATTTATTTTATTCTCTAGACTAGTAATATTATTTTTTGTTGAGAAACATTTGAATGATTTTCTTATATTTTTTAAAAACTAAATATGTAATAGTTAAAAAAAATAAAAATAAAAAAAATAAATGATCAACAGGCCAGTGCCCTAGTCGTACAAAACTCCTACTTCTCAAAGGGAACTCAGGGCTCGACTCCTGATGAAAGCAAGTGAGTTTCAATTATATATATATATATATATATATATATATATATATATAAAGTTAAAATTCATTAAATGACTAGAAACTCCTGAATTTTAAGATAATATTATGTTATAAAATTAGTGCTTTGAAATTAAAAAAATTTAGCTCAAAATTTGTCATTCCTATACAATCTAATGGTGAAGAGGTCCAAAATTATCATGGTAGACCAAATATATATATATATATATATATATATATATAAATAATTAAATAGAAATTATTAAAAGAAATAGTAACAAATATGAGACTCATTTAAATAATAAAAACAAAACTAAAATGACACATACAGAGTGGAGAGAATCTTGGTCAGGTCAACTATGTCCTCACACAGTGGGTCTCACATACCTTTACTATTTGTACACACACAACCAAACAAATAAGCCACGAAGCCTGCACAGTCAACATTCTTGGGACAAGTGTCCACTAACCTGACATCCTTCCACGTGTCAACATCTATGTCGTCAATAATGCCAACGTCTACTTGGGATGCTCCCGTTCCAGAGTGGATTTGTGGGCCCAATCTCTGACAAGACACCAACAGATAATAAACTCGTCCTAATAAAGAGATAAACTATTATATTATTTTTTAAAAATTAGATATTTTGCTATTTTAATTACTAATGTCAATTAAAGATTCTTTATCTATTATGAATAAAAATAATAAAATAAAATTTATTACTGAAGTGTTTATTTCTATATTTGTCAGATTAATTAATAATAAAAAAATTGACATTTATATTATTTTTAAATTATTATATTATTGTAATATCAATCTCTGAAGTACAACAAGAATTTTGTATTTTGTGTCAGTAAACGATAACGATAGACTCTCCATCCTTTTAAGGTTTTTATCTAAATAGCTGTCTTGATTTTTATTGTGGACAATTATATCAATTTTTTTTTATTATACTAATATTATTTTTGTGACTAAAATAGAGAAATTAATTTGGGTTTTGAACTAACGTGAATAATGATTATAAAAAGTCGAAAAATAAGGCATAACGAGGTCTTTGGTGGGACCCACATAAGGATCTTTGACAGAGGTGTCAGTTTCATTACTGTGCTTCTCTTCTCTGCTCTCTCTGTTGCCATAGCTCCCTCTCCCTCTCTCTCACTCTACTTTCTCTCTCTTTTGTAACTTCTCTCATCCCATTGTGCTTGCGATTTTGTTCACTTTCTCTTGTTCTTTTTATTTGATTTTTTTAATTAAAAGAGAGACTTTGTTTTCTTTTGATTATCCTCGTCCCTTGTCCAAGAGAAAAGCAAAGTCTTCTCTTTCACACCTTCAAATTGTAGACCCATAGAATGAATTAGGGTTTCGCTGCTCAGGTACAGTGTCGTTTACACTTGTTGCTTCTTCTTTTCCATTTTTTTTTCTTCTCTCTGTTTCTGCAAGAACTACCCATCTAAATTGCTAATTTCTGTGTGGGTATTTTTTATTTCAGTCTGATCCTCCGAGCTCACTCTGGCTCTGCTTCAAAACCCTCTGAGGAATCGAAAAGTCTGGAGTTGTGAACACTGATTTTCTGGGTATTTGCTCTGTTTTGGTAATGTGTTTTTGTTTTCTTGTTATATAAAAATGAAAAACAAAAAAAAGAAAAGAAACAGTTTCTCTTCTTTTCTCTTCTCTAATCTGCTTTCTGGGGTTTTCAAAATGAGAGTTTTGTTTTTCCCGAGGGAAGCAAACAAAACAGCTTTGGAGATAGATGATTTAAAACTCTTCAAATTTAGGCATTTCCCATTTGGGTTTTGTGTTTTTTGAAATGGGTTTTTGGGTTTTCACTTTATAAGATCAGTATTTTCTTTTTTTTTCCTTTCCTTGGAATTTTGTGTGTTTGTGTGTGTGTTTGTGTTTGTGTGTGTGTGTGTTTGACATCTAAATTCTAATTTTGTGGAAAATAGGTTTGGCTTCAGTTGGGTGGTTTTAACATGGAGGGTGTTGAAGAAGCTAACAAAGCAGCTGTTGACAGCTGCCATAGAGTTCTGAGCCTCTTATGTCAATCTCAAGATCAGGTTCAGTACAAAAACTTAATGGTGGAGACAGGGGAGGCTGTGTTCAAGTTCCAGAGGGTCGTGTCTCTTCTGAGTAATGGTCTTGGTCATGGAAGAGTGAGAAAGTTGAAAAAGTTCAGCTCATCCTTGCCCCAAAACATTTTCCTTGAAAACCCAAATCATAAAACCAATCCTTCACCACTAACCCTCCAATTACTCCCAACTAATAACCCTAAAAATCCAATTCTTGAAATGGATTCAAAGCCTAAAAGTACTACTATGCAACTCAGCCAGAAAATGTTTCTCGAAAACCCGACATTAGATGTCCCTTCATCAGTCAAGCCTCCTCTGCAAATTGTCCAGCAAAAGCCATCACAGCACCACCAATTCCTTCAACAGCAGCTTCATAATCAGCAGCAGATGCAGAAGTTGCAGCTTCATCAGCAGCAGCAGCAGCAGATGAAATATCAAGCTGATATGATTTATTCTACTAGTAACAACAGTGGCATAAATCTCAAATTTGATGTCTCTAGTTGCACCCCAACCATGTCATCCAACAGATCATTCATGTCGTCTCTAAGCATCGATGGCAGCGTGGCGAATTTAGGTGCAAACTCCTTCCATTTGATCGGCGTGCCTCAAACGTCCGACCAGAATTTGCAGCAGCCTCGGAGGAGGTGCAGTGATAGGGGAGAAAATGGGAGTGTGAAATGTGGCACCAGTGGTAAATGTCACTGTTCGAAGAAGAGGTCAGTTTTGGTCCTCTACTTGGTAGTCAATTGGTTGTTTTCTTGCTAGTGTGTGTTTGAATTGTTAATGCTTGTATTTGTAGGAAATTGAGGGTGAAGAGATCTATAAAGGTGCCTGCCATCAGTAACAAGGTTGCAGATATTCCTCCCGATGAGTATTCTTGGAGGAAGTATGGACAGAAGCCAATTAAGGGATCGCCGCATCCTAGGTTTGTGTACCTTTACTGCTTGAACATGCTTGATTGTTTTTATGATATGGTTTAATCTTCAATTTGCCCTAATTTTTTTCTGTAATTGTTTTCAATAGTGTGTGTCCATGACCAAATTAGATTTTCATATTGACCACTTCTTGTTGTTACTGCTTTTGTAATTTTCTGTTTGGAACTTGTGTACGTCCCGAAATTGTCAATTGTCTAAATATTCGTGTGCTTGCATGAACTGCTGACTGAACTTTTTGGTGCTTCCATATAAGTTACTAATATTTGGTATTGCTTATATGTGTGCCTTATAAGTTGCATACCGAGTATTATTTAATTTGACCAGCTTCAAAGATTAAATTTTACCAATTTTGGAGAATCGTGAAATTTCAACCCTTTTATATGCAATGTATTAGCAGACTATATTTTTTATTTTTTATTTCCTAAAGTTCAAGCAAACACGCTCATCCACAATATATTTTTGCCCCCACCGGGACTCAACACTCGACCTCCCCAAAGTGGGAGAAAAGCTTATACCATCTAGGCTCGAGCCTATTGGTTTCTTTTTTATTTTCCTTTCAATAGGGGTGTCATGTTTAACTCAAAAGCTTTCCAAGGTCCCTTACTGCTTATCTATTTCCCCGAAGAATGTTCATACACCTAATCAGAGAAAGTGTACAATTAGGTTGGTTGTTTTTTTTGATTTTTGGTTAGGTAAATACTCGCACACACATCCACAAATGCCAACTATGGGGCTGGAACCCCTCACCTTTCCTTTGAGAGAGGAGAGGTTATATCAGCAGGGCTGATGGCCCTGTGGTTGTACTGGTAGGTCAGTTGAAGAGGTTTCCTCATTTACTTGATTCCTTTGACTATGTTTGTAGGTGTTAAAATCTTTTATGTTACTATTGTTATTAAATTATTATAGTTTCTTGTTCAATGCTTTGCTGATTATACGTTATCTAATTTGATTTTAGAACCATTCGAGCTGACTATCATGCTCTTGTGCAGGGGTTACTATAAATGTAGCAGCATGAGAGGTTGCCCAGCGAGGAAGCACGTTGAGAGGTGCTTGGAAGACCCTTCGATGCTTATTGTCACTTACGAAGGTGAGCATAACCATTCCCGGTTACTGACAACACAATCTGCTCATGCTTAAGAACTTCAAGGAATTCTACATCGGATGTGGTTTCAAGAATCCAGCTTTGCTTGTTTTGATACAATGAAACCGTTGATGTTCAGTTGTGAATTGCTCCTGTATATAGTATATGGTTCAAAATTGAAGACTGCCATTGATGGAGCTGATATGTGGTAAAGTAGATAGGTTTTTTGCCGTTCTTTTTGCGTTTTGGATCAGGTGCCTTTGAGTTAGAGAATCAGGCTAAATGAATAGGTTTAAAGTTGTAAACTCTCTCTTCCCGGAAAAACAAAGTTATGCTCCTTTTTTTTTTTTTTTTTTTTTTTGGTGGATGCAAAATCATTAGTCAGCATAATTTGTAAAATGTTAAGCTCTAGTTTGGTTGCAGGCATTGGATCTGGAGCACTGCTTTTAGCTTAGGTTGTGTCTTCACTGCTAAGAAAGTTTTAAGCAACCGATGTCAAGTTTATGTCCTGTTTTACTCTTCTGGTAATGGAAATGGAGGAACTTTCTTATTTGATTATCCTGGAAATTACTCATGAGTTTAGGGTTCTGTCTGAATAGCAGGTGACATATATGCTTAATTTACCTGCAATGTGGGATAGCTAGAGTGGATTACATTAAGACCCTTTTTTTGGGTAGTTTGGTAAATTCAAGGTTGAAGTTACCCAGCCAAACAATCACCATTTTTATTTATTTCTTATTTAACTATGACAAGAAACACTCACGCAAACCCTTTTTTTAGGCGGCGTGGAGGTACCACTTGCCCCTATTTGTAAAAATGTTAAAGACATTCAGGTAATATGTCTTTTTCTTCTATTTTTCCCAGACAGTGATCGGTCTCTTTGGACCCTATCACTACCATATGGTGGGGCCCACAGAAACTCCATGGGAAATCGGAGTATCTCACAAACAACACACACGCATTAAACATCACACTGGCAAATTTATTCATATTCGTGTGTGTGTGTGTCTATATATATATATATATATATTGAATTTTTTAGAGTTTCTGGATCGAGAATACTTCTTATGAGAACATAATGGTATGTACTTATGATTGGTTCTAGGGAGACTGAGCGATTGGGGGTACCATAGAACCATTTGACAAGGAATAAGTACATCAAAAGAGAAAGCAGAAAGAACCGAAACGAAGTAGACAAGCACTCTCGATAAATGCTGTTAGATTATGCTCTTACAGCCCTCGATTGGCTGCTAGAATATTCTTCCAATTTCATGCTCAAGTTGGGCTCCTATTTTCATCCAAAGTGGTTTGAGGGTCCATCAGGGAAAAAAAAAAAAACACACACACACACACACACGACTTTGTGTCATAGATAATGTTCACTTTACACAATCTACATTTTCAAAACGTGTATAATTATAATTAGAAGGCGTCCACATATGCCAACAACTTTTCCCCCTTAAGCAATGTTGGACGTCATACTTTCTTTTGACGGATTATTTAAGAACACATATTCGCCATTTTTTGAGGAAGAAGTAGACTAAAGATTTCCTGTATAGGCATCACGATTTGGGCTGCAGCGGTGCCAGCCTGCCGAACCTAAGCATGGTGTGATCATTCATGTCTTCTCTAAGCATGGATGGCACTGTGGCAAATCTGGAAATTCCTTTAATTTGATCAGTGTGCCTCAAACGCCTGATCAGAATTTGGAACAACCTAGGAGGAGGTGTAGTGATAGTGGTGAAAATGGGAGTGTGAAATGTTGTACCAATGGTAAATGTCACACTCTTCAAAGAAGAGGTCAGTTTAATTTGTTCCTCTACTTGGTAATGTATCGGATGTTTTCTTGCTAGTGTGTGTGTGTGTGTGAATTGTTAATGTTTGTATATATGCAGAAATTTGAGGGTAAAGAGATTTATAAAGGTGCCTGCCATCACCAACAAGGGTGTTCCTCTTGATGAGTATTCATGGAGGAAGTATGGACAGAAGCCAATTAAGGGGTCGCCGCATCCTAGGTTTGTGTACTTTCACTGCTTGAACATACTTAGATTGTTCATATGATCTGGTTTAATCTTAATCTTTTCAGTTTCATAACCAAATTACATTTTCATGTCTTATTGTTGTTCTCCCTCTGTAATTCTCTGTTTAGAACTCATGTACCTCCTTGGTTTAGTATGATTTGCTGCATTTGCAAATACATAGTCCAAATATTCATGTTATTGCATGTTGCCTTTATTGGAGTACATGTTGCAATATTATTTAATGCGACCATCTTCAAAGACTGATTGTGAAATTTCAAACCCTTTTTCTGTGCCATTTTCATTTTTAATTTTCTTTCAATGCTCCCCAAAGATTGGCTCTAAAACCATCTGTCACAACTCTAAACGTGTCTACATCGTTCGGAGGCATCCACGCATATTAGTGCTTAAATTCGTTTTTAGAACCATTCGAACTGACTATCATGCTCTTGTGCAGGGGTTGCTATAAATGTGTCAGCATGAGAGGTTGCCCAGCAAGGAAGCATGTTGAAAGGTGCTCGGAAGACCCTTCAATGCTTATTGTCACTTATGAAGGTGAACATAACCATTCCCAGTTACTAACGACACAATCTGGTTAAGAACTTTAAGGAAATCTAGGGCGGATATAATTTTAATAATCTAGCTTCAAGATCAAAAGACACTAACATAGATGGTATTAACTCTCCTTTTTCAATGGAAAGGTTGAGCGTTTCAGGTTCGGTGAAGACATAATATATACAGTGCCGTGTGTTTGATTGAACTTCCAAAAAAAGAAAAAAAATAAAAAAGAAAAAAATTAGTGAATTGCTCCTGTATATAATATATGGGTCAAAATTGAAGACTACCTTTGGTGGAGCTGATATATGGTGAAGTAGATAGATTTTGATGTTCTATGTATGAGTTTTCTTCTGTGAATGCAAAATCATTAATCAACAGAACTCTTTTGTAACTTTATTTTTGTTACTGAATTTTTAATATTGGGTTCATTTTTTTTTATAAAACGTAAGGTCTAGTTTAGGCATTGGATGAGGAGTAAAGAGTACGATCATAGCTTTGCTCGTGACCTCACAGCTAGAACGTTTTGAGCAACTGATCACATTATGCCCCATCTCTGTGGGTAGTTTGGTAAATTCAAGTTGAAGTTAACCGGCCTGCACACCTACTCCAGTCTCTAATAGGTCTTAGAGTTTTTTTTTTTTTTTTTTTTTTAAATGTAAGAGCATCCGTTATACATCATACACCTTGTCTATATATGTTTTAAAAAAATATTTATATATGTTTTAAAAAATAGAGTACCACATAAGCATTATTTAATAAAAAATGCTTATATGTTACTTTACTTTTGTTAATGAAAATTGTTCAACGGTATGCAACATCAATATCTCATTATTTATTTATTATTAAATTAGTTTAATTTAAAAATTAAATTCCAAAGGTGGGCCATTCACTGGCTATAATTAAAGATGTTGAGAAAATGAACTGAAAGCCAAAAAATTGAATAGCGGTACTCCAAACAATATTCTATCTGCAAAGAAGGCAATAGACAATCTCATGTGGGGGGCCACAAAAACCGCGCGGTACTCCAAACAATACTCTATCTGCAAATAAGGCAATAGACAATCTCATGTGGGGGGCCACAAAAAGCGCATTGATTATAAGTTGCACACCCTCTCTCTCTCTCCTTTTTGCAAATATTATCTATTTTGTCTACCGCCCTAGAGCACTTCTCTCTCTCTCTCTCTCTCTCTCCTTTTCGCAAATATTATCTATTTTGTCTATCGCCCCAAGAAAAAGTTGTTGGCACTTATAAAGAAGATATCCTCCTCCTTGTGCAGACAACGTTTGAAAAATGAAAAAAAAAATACACAAATTTTATCTTAAAGAAGTATCTTAAAACCGTGAGCGCATAATATAAAATATGTCGGGAAGTAATTTCTTTTTTTTTTATTTTTATTTTTTCCTTGACATCAGACACCACGATGGCAAAATTATCCATTATCTATATCACATATACCTATAATTTTGCAGAGTTTCTAGATTGAGGAACAGTGCTTTCATAAATACTTGCTATGAGAACATAGTAGTAAAAGAACTTATGATTGCTTGTAGGGAGACTGAATGATTGGAGGTACAATAGAACCATTTGTGACTGGAAATTACTCATCAAAAAAGAAACCAGAAGGAACCGAAACGAAGTAGGCAAGCACTCTTCATTAATGCCAATTGATATGTTCTTTCTTACAATTGAATGGGAAAAGAAGAGGGAAAAAAAAAAAAAAAGAGGAAAAAATAATAATGATAAAAAAGAAAAAGAAAAAAGAGGGGTGATATTCATTTTTGACCATCCAAATCTCTTTAAGTTGTATTTTTTAGATAAGGCAAGTGTTAAAAGTTAAATTAATAAATACATAGAGTCAATCTGGCACTCCAACCGAAGGCGCTAAACCAATTAAATAAACTTTCGTAATATCATCTAGACATTTGTCGAAAAAAAACATGATAATAATTTAAGTGAACTTTCATATAATACAATCTAGAACAATTAGATTATATCTTAACATTTAAGTAGATAGTAAATTAATTAAAATAGTGTTTTTTTTTTTTTTTTTTTTTTTTCATAACTAATGTTATTTATTTATTTATTTTCCTCCTTTTTCAATCCAGAAAAATTCTAGTATAATTTATGGGCCCCACATAGGCCTCACATCTCCACAATAACTTTCGACAAAACCTAGCCGTTCTAACGTCTCTCTCATACCGAACTGAAGCTATCTTTTTCCCTCTCAAACATCCCTCTCACTCTCACCATCCACATGGAGGCCACGACCGTTTGTTTTTTTGTTTTTTAACCAAAAGTCGAAGGAGCTCTACATCGCCGACAACAAAATCTATGAGGTACATGCTTTCAAACTCTTTTTTTTCCCACCGTTGAAGCTTTCATTACGCTTTTTTTTCACCGATTAAAGGTAGTTTTGTTTCAGATCTGAACAATTTTGCTCTGATTTTTGTTGCCCGATCAAAAGCAAATCTGAGCCTCACCATTTTTCGTTATATATATATATATATGTGGTATGCATTTTGATTTATGAGGATTTGTGAAAAGGGTCTCTTGTATGCATTTGATGGAATTTCTTTGTAGTAGGTATTATTTTACTTGTTCTCTGCTGAAGATATGATTGGTTAAAAACTGCTATAGTAGTTAGGTAGTTTGGAACATGTCAGAATTCCATTGATTTAAAACTGAATAATGTAATAGAAAGAACTATTTATGCACTTTGAGCTTGGTACCAATCACATGCAATGGTCTAATATTTCTGAGGTAAAAATTTTAGAATGGAAGCTACTTCATTTTTTTTTTTTTCAATTTATATGACCTAATCCAATATCTGTTCTGAAATAAATTATATTTAGTTTGGTAACATCAACCGTACACCCGCTCGTTTGAGAAATGTTATTTTTGATACTACCTTTTGGTGAACACTTATTGTTAGTATATCACGAGTCCTTACTTCATTGGGAGTAATTACCATTTTACATCAT